ATGGAGCCAGACCCTCAGAGGGAGGTCCAACTAACCAGCAAACAGCTTCAGCGCACCAGACAGAAATGAGCGCTAATGAAGCCGTTTTTCTCTCTGCTCTGATTCTACTGCTGATCGGTGCATGTTTAACATGACCAAAATTCAAAGCACTACTAACTACTGGCTAGCTGCCTCATGCCGACGCCGATTACTGTCAGATCTATAGTGGCTTGATCCGGAGCTTCTGAAGGAGAGCGACCATTAACCAGACGCATCAAAGGGACACAGGGGTGTGGGGGGCAGGGGAGGTGAGGAGGAAGGAAGGAGGGGGAGCAGGACAGCAGGGGGCTGATACAACCGTTTGCTCTCCTGCAATGTTATTCCTAAAGATAAACAACAAAAAGATAGCAACCTTGTAGCAAGGCACCATGAGGGACACTGTCATCAACCAGAGCAAATTCACTTCCTGTTCACTCTTTAATGAAAAACCCCCACTATTATATATAGAATATACATCAAAGGTTTATTTAACACAAGACTTCCACTAGACGAGTGAAAAGTCCTTTCAGAATAAGCGATTCCATCAGAGATGCAACAAGAATTCCACTGACTACTGAATCAGACGCATTATGGGCACCACAGAAGAAGACAACACTCTTTGGGTTGGGGGGCCTTACTGAGGAAAGACTATTTAAAGCTAGCCATCTCCAGTATCAAAAAGGTGTTTAAAAATGAACTAGGCAAACGTAAAGATGGCTGTGGTTCATTCAGGCTGCAAGAAAGAGAGAGCGCAAGACTTCCAGCAGATAACAGGAATACAAAATTTGCAGCAAGATGCAATTAATTTACCAATTCATTAATTGATAATTAACTTTGTAATCAATTTGTCTTTGATTCACATGACAACTTAAAATGGCTTGTAAGCTAGCATCAGCTTAAAGAATGTCATAAAATATGCTTGCAAATGTTACAACCAGGAGAATGGCTACCTGAACTTATTAAAAGAAAGGCAGGAAGTCACCGTTGATGACAAGACACTTCACGTTCCCATCTCCAATTTGTTTTCCATTATGGTCCTGATCATTGGAATCTGAATCTGAAGAATTTTCATTCAAATCTGGACATCCAGCTGTCTGTTCGGGATACTGGTATAGTGGTACATCAGTTACTCCCATAAAGAATAAAAAAAGGCATCTTTTCCCATTTCTATTCATGCAATATCAATATTTCGATTTAATTTCTGCTTTAAAATATTAGTAAAACCTAGTTCCTAAAAAGTACTCAGGAGAAAAACTAGAAAAATATACTATGAACATAGTTTTTTATATGTTCTTAAAAAAATATCACTATCAGTAAAAAAAAAAAAAAAAAAAAAAAAAAAAAAAAAAAAATTAAATATTTTAAAATGACTATAATCTGAAACCAGCATGCAGAACTAAAACTTTTGCATCTTTTATCCCTAAACATCAGCCAGATGTTAGGTTTTGGCCAAACGTTGCCAAAATGTTCTACTAACTTCCTGATGTGGGCAAAGGACAGAACACAGGCACATTCACAGACACCGGAGGACTCCCACGATTCCCCAGCTAACCAAATATCTCGTTTACATAAAGCCACCTGTCAAACAGTGGAGGAGGGTGATGGAACAATGAAGCACTGTAGGAATAAATTTCACTGTGTCGTGCTGCATTAGGCTCCCAGAGAGTGATGGCACAAGAACTAAAGGATTCTCACCCAGGAAGAGCTTTCAGGTCAGCTCTGTGTGAGCCAGCAGACAGACACCAGGCCGGCCGTTAAATCCACACCAGCAGACTCAGTAATCATTAAACGCTTCTCAGTGATGCAATGCAGACTTGGAAAACGCAATGGCCAAATAGAAGGCTTGGGTAGTTTGAGATTAGAATGTAAGCTGGTGGACTCACAAATTAAATATAAAAAAAAAAAAAAAAAAGCAACAATTTTGTTTTATGAACTGTGCTTGTCAAGCGCAAATATGTAGCGTGCAAAAACAAAGTAGCTCTTCATCTGAATGAAAACACTGGTGACCTAATTCTGCAACCTGCCAGGGGTGACCTGACAAGCATTTTAACAAAAAAAATAATAATGATAATCACACTAAAAAATGTATATAGGAATGATATACGCCTTAAAAACTATTAAGTTTTAAACTTTTGCAGCCCCAGATTTTAATGTACTTACTGTATGTTTAAAACTGCACTCCTGCTTCGTCCACCATATTTATAAAAACAAATCTCCCAGGTCTTCCCTCAGTACATCATAAGCCTGGCAGGCCATCAGGCTTTACTTGCGCCCCCAACAGTCGAAGCATTGTTTATTTATTACAGGGGTTTTTATAACAGCGATAGCAAAGATGGGTAAAATTGTCTCTTTGGTGAAATGGTTGTAAGCACAATGGCAACATATATGGTCAGTATGGTTGTGAACACATAAAGCACTGAAGTCAGATTACTTTTTTTAATTCACCTTAACTCCATAACCACTGCCTGTTTTTACCCATCTGAACGCTAAAACCTTCAGTGAATAAAGTGACGAGTCCTTAGGTGTGAACTAAATAGGAAGAAATCATTGAAGTACAAATATATATGTTATATTTTTAAATTTCTTGTCAACTTTAAACATTTTCAAGTTTAACACAGTGGGCTGCTGGATGACTGCCTGGCTTAGGAAGTTTTCTGGAGTAAACCTCGTCTCCCGTTCAGCCTCCAGTTGTTCTCAAGATAGGGTTGATTACTAAGGATCCTACCAGACCCGTTCTTTAAATCCAAGGAAACAAGGATATGTTTGGGGGAGCCTTTGGGTTTGGCCATCCTTCATCACATTGCTGTGACGTAATCAACCTTCAGGTGCTGCCTGTGAAGGGCACAGTCCCTGAACTCAGACACACATAGACAGACAACCAGAGGTTAGGAAAAATATTGTCTTGTCTGATGAGTCTGTATTTCATTTAGATGGTAAGATCAGAATTTTGGGGTAAATCTGAAAGCATGTTTCCATCCTTTCTGATATCACCGCTGTAGGCTGGCTGGTGATGTAAAGCAAACAAGTTTAAAAGATTTTAAACATCACTGCACATTATACAACTGGGTTGGATTGATGGCCTTAGTCTCTCATAGACTCAATCGTTAGTATGTTTTTATTTGTAATCCCATACTTGGACTTCTTCCTTCAGATTCCAGGGTTTCCTGCAGTGTATTATAAGCCTGGCGGGCCACCAAGCTTCACCTACACACCCTGTATTTGTTGTTCTACAAAAATGGAAAGTTCATCTTCAGGACTTAAAGTCCAAACTGAACTTTGAGAGAAATCGTTTCAGTTTTGTTGACCATCTTCTTGGAGCAGAAATACACAAACCTCAGTTTGCTGTTGTCACTAAAATGTTTTTAAGATGGATTCTGAGAAGGAATTATTCATCTGTAAATGTTACATTTGTGGAATCTTTTAGCTAACTTATTTGTGATGGTGTTAACTTTTTCTGTTTTGCTGTGAATGCTCTGTAAACTGTGTGCTGCTGTCAGAGATGTTTAAATTGTTTTCTGGTGAAATAAAGGTTAATAATAATGACAATATTAATAAAGATGTGAAAGAACTGCCACAAATTTCCTATCCTCCAACTGGGTATTTCTTTCCCATCTGCAGCTGCTAAATTTTACAAATAATCTCAAAGCATGTTCTTGAAGATCAACTTGATTCCATTGTACAGTCACCACATGTCAACCAGAGGACCTTTGGGAAGTGTTGGACTGGGAGCTTTGCATGGTGATAATGTCAATACAGATCTTTGTAGTTATGTTTTCCATCCAAGTGTCATGTGAACATTAAACGAACTTTAAAACTGTCACACAAAAACAGAAAATGTGACTTAGATATGTTTCCATCAACTGGTCTGCAGGGAATCAACCAGGCTATGCTAAGTATGATTTTTGTCAGATGTTAGTGGCTATAATACACAGGAAGTACAGGCTGCAAACTAGCATGGAGCACACATCTCAGGAAAATGAAGATAGTGCTCCTCTCCGAGCTCCGAGTTTTGGACTTTGGATTATGCAAGTTTCATGAGTCTAGTAAGACACAGACACACCAGTGGATGTGAGCGTTCACTACGTCAGAAATTATTCAACAAATGTATTTCCATCTCCCCTTTTGGCCATCAACTCTTTATTGGAAAAGCCAAAAATCACATCAAGCAAGCGTAAAAACATTTTTTGCAAAATCGAGTAAGTTATCTTGAATTTTGCTGTTTCCATCAACATTTTCCACGTTCCCCACACATTGAAAAATGTACATAAAGAACCTTGATGGAAACAAGGTTAACGGGTTAATATCTCAGGAATATTTCTAACAGTTCCTTACATTCAAGTCTTGAGGAACTCAGTCATATCTGAAGTTAAAAGGGAGACTCTCTACCAATAATCTGTGCTCAATAAACTGGCTGGCTAGTACATGTCTGAATATCGTCCCCAATTTTTGTTCCTTGTGCAGCTTTTGCATTCAGCTTTGAAAATCTGTAAAGACATCCTAAACCAGCCACATCACTCTGATCAGTGTACAAGTGTGCACCACTAGATAGAGACTTAAAAAAACAATCAGCTGCATGAGATAAGTAAGAAGTCAATTTCACTTCTAAAACTGAAGCAAAAGTTTTTATACTTAAGGAACATTCCAAAGTCTACAGGAACAGTTTCTGCAGTGTGTGGCAAAACTGCAAAGCAGCTGAGAACCAGAACATGCAGACATTACAGCCTGCAATCAGTGCTGCTGCTCCAAAGCAAGTCAGAGGTGAACGCTGAGTAAACAATGGAGAAATCTGGCAGAGGGACTGGTGGCGCAGCTGTTTGTTTCCGGGTTGAAATTATCATCATTCCCCAAATTTCCTACGCTTCTGCTGCTTCGGCGTTTCTTTCTATCAGCAACAGCACGTTCAGGATCACCAAACACTCAGAAAACTTGCAGGAAAACACCGGAATATGTCTTAAAGAAGGCTCCGCAAATCGACAACTTACCAAGGGTCAAACTCATGAATGATGCTCTCGAAGCGGATGACAGCGAAGAGCCTGGAGCTGAAACCGGCCAGACAGGCCAGAAACAGGATGGTGAAAGACAGCAGGGACTGCCAGCCGGCCGGCTGCGACAGGCCGCCGGACAGACCTCCCCCGGCGCCAGCCATGCCGTCTCTCTCCGCCGCCGCGGTGCTGCTGCGGCCATTCCCAGAGTACGTCGCCGCGGAGGTCAGCGAGGATTTGTGTTTGCTCTCGGAAATCTGGTGATGCTCCGCCATTATTCTACGTCAGCCCCGCGGTGGCAACCAAGCAAATGGAGCTATCTCTTATCACACAGGACGGGACCCCCCTCTTGCCTTCCTATTCTGCGCCACGCTTCACTTCCGAGCCACTCGCAGCACCTTCCCCGGACACCCCGGATCCCTCCAAGGTAGCTTCTGAGATTCCCGACTGTCTGACCTTATTCCCCGCTGAAGGTAGGAGCAGCTAGACGATTCCTGGGAATCACATTGCAGCACAGTTTGGCTGCACCCTAGAAGTGTCACACGCGGCTCGAGGAGTTCCTCCTTCCTTCCTTGGAGCTGAATGAAAGGGGCGGGATCTGTTCGTGGAACAGGAAGAGTCGTCAGCCTCTCACAACGAGACAGGTACAGCGTGGACGGACACGGCTCCTGCGGAAGTCCAATCCGGTGACACGGCGCGTGACAGACAAGCAGAAGGACTAATGAGAAAGCCGAAGCCTGATCCGCATGACGTACCTCCCTCCCCCCACCCAACAAGCAAAAGCCGTTGAGGCGGGGGAGGGGCCGACTGCGGTACAGGTGACCAGCTATCTTCTGCGCTGATGGCTCCGGGTTCAGTGACACTTTTTTTTTGGAGATTAACTGAAACCAGATTTAAATAGAGAAAACATTTGCGCAAGAAATAGAGGTAAAGAGGTTATCTGTAAAATTATTAATTTTATATACATGAAATAATAATTTAAATACTAATGTATTAAAACTGGAAATAAATATAGAAATTATATATATATA